GGTACGGTATATAAAACAGCAAAACTGATCTAATCCTCACAAGTGTGCTAGTATAACGTAGCGGTTTATAAAACAGCAATACTGATCCAATCCTTCTACAAGTATGCTAGTATATGGTAGCGGTTTATAAACAGCAATACTATCTAATCAGTTTGCAAGTATGCTCGTATATGGTAGCGGTTTATAAACAGCAATACTATCTAATCAGTTTGCAAGTATGCTAGTATATGGTAGCGGTTTATAAACAGCAATACTATCTAATCAGTTTGCAAGTATGCTAGTATATGGTAGCGGTTTATAAATCATCAATTCTGATCTAATCAGTTTACAAGCATGCTAGTATATGATAGCGGTTTATACAACATCAGTACGCTTATTGCGCACTGGTTGACCCTTTGAATGAACTTAACCGGTCACGTCTATTGAAGCTGTACAATTATAGTACCATCGAATTGATGCGATTCACTTATCGCTAGTATAATGGTTCGACACACAAGCTTGTATACAATCAGGAGTGTATATACACAGATACAAATACACAGAGAGCGTGCCTTGATATTGCTTGCAAGAACTGCTCTACTAAGCCTCCGTTAGATCAGTTATTAACAACCACGATTTGAACCATCATACTATTAGTCAAAAACCATGTGTGATGGAATGCCTGTCTATTCGCTTGGTGGATGTCCATCTATTTTCTTGGCAGTATCACGGTTATATACACAGGCTAATACATAGATATTAGCGTATATACATACGTACAGGTGCACATAGGACATGCGAGGTCACACTGTGAGCAGAGACATACCTTTTGTGTGTCCACGTGATCCCCTCTCATCCTCATCTTCAACGCAGACTATATTTCGTATTCCAGATCGAATCCAGAAGTATAGACGTATTTGTAGTAATCCCGATTCTTAAATTATGTACTATAAACTTGGTGTTGTGAATGTGGACTACTTGCACTCAGGTACATAGTATGTACAGGAACTCTCCTAAGGTTACTCACGTATCAATATCGACCCTACACCCGTACACTGGCGATTTATTTCAGCAGCACAACTGTATGCAACTATGCGATACAGTACCAGCATAAACCTGAATCCATATGAGTACTTCTCGCCCGAATCCATACACAAATAATCAGCACCTAGTTATCACAAGGACGTATGTAGTAGTGCAGGGATAGCCGGATAAGGCGGTGTTTATTTAAAGTCACGAGCCAACCAAGTTTATCGGCAAATTCAACTACATGTTTCAATTTTATCAAGAGGTTATTATTGTACATCCTACCCTACGGCGCCCCTAAAATATTGGAATTATTGTAGAGCCGCTGTGGTACGCGACTACCAGACCAAGTGCTAAAAGGGCCATTGATGTTTCCCGCCAAAAAAATAATAATTTCAACTTCTCTCCGAAACCGTCTGAAGGTGTCAAGGTGACCTCTGAGGCCTGAGTTCACTGGCGAAATTGCGAACAGTCATCATTTAAGTTTGTAAATACCATAAATTGAACAATCAGCATTCCTTATACCCATCATCGTAATTATCTCTGGCTGTTCGCTCTCTCTCTCTCTCTCTCCCGCTGATCAGGCACTGCATTATGTACATATGTACATAATAAATATATATATATTTGTCTGCCTAAAGCCGCTATCAGATATATCGCTATGGATAATGGAACCAACATTGGGAATAAAAACAGATGTACAGTGTACAGCACAATAGTTTATGCGTGGTGGAGTGGGGTAAGTACCTTCCAACTCAAGCTGACATCAACTTGCTGCACGTGTGATGAAATGAAAGCTCTTGGGAGAGTTGAGATCTGAGTACTATTTATGTTGACTATCCTTCTATTACCTAATATGGCTTCCTGTGAGAACATAGGGTTTTTGTTTTTGTTATATTATTCTGTGCCGTCGATAGTTTCAAAGCATCTAAATACTCCATTGTCGACTCTGCTCAACATTTTCTTGACGTCTAATCAGGATCATTGCTAATAGTGTCAATTGGATGAAACCCATTGTGCCGAATTACGCAGTATATATATATATATGTGTGTGTGTGGTATATAT